CAACCGCCAGCCACGCCTCCACCCGCTACTCAACCGCCAGCCACGCCTCCCGCTACTCAACCGCCAGCCACGCCTCCACCCGCTACTCAACCGCCAGCCACGCCTCCACCCGCTACTCAACCGCCAGCCACGCCTCTACCCGCTACTCAACCGCTAGCCACGCCTCCACCCGCTACTCAACCGCCAGCCACGCCTCCACCCGCTACTCAACCGCCAGCCACGCCTCCACCCGCTACTCAACCGCCAGCCACGCCTCCACCCGCTACTCAACCGCCAGCCACGCCTCCACCCGCTACTCAACCGCCAGCCACGCCTCTACCCGCTACTCAACCGCCATCCACGCCTCCACCCGCTACTCAACCGCCAGCCACGCCTCCTCCCGCCACTCAACCGCCAGCCACGCCTCCACCCGCTACTCAACCGCCAGCCACGCCTCCACCCGCTACTCAACCGCCATCCACGCCTCCACCCGCTACTCAACCGCCAGCCACGCCTCCACCCTCTACTCAACCGCCAGCCACGCCTCCACCCGCTACTCAACCGCCAGCCACGCCTCCCGCTACTCAACCGCCAGCCATACCTCCACCCGCTACTCCATCTGGTGCCTCTCCGACAGGAGCAACTGGACAAGGAAGCAGCACTACTCTCGGAGGTGGTTTCGGAGGCACTCCTCCAATGCAGACTAGTCCTCCCTTCAGTGCCAATCCAATCGGCCCAACCACTACTTCTCTTATCGGTCCAGGTGCCTCGGGTGGCAATGTTGATTACGATTATGCAGACACGCCTGATACTCCTCAACAGTTCCAGCAGCAGGTCATGTTTGCGTCCGCTAAACATTTGCAATTATATCAGCCACTATTACTAACGGGATTACTTGGGTTTATCTCTTTGTGTTTCCTGGCATACCGCTACAGAGTATCAGCCGTATGAAAAATTATAAACTTCAAAAATGGGAGAGTTTCTATATCAGATATCACAACAGTTTTCAGTCATTAACCGTTCTTGGGAAGCAATTTTAACGAGCATCTTTCAGGCAAGTGTATTCTTGCGTTGGGTTGACTCCCCATGCTAATTGTTTTTACGACTGAAATAAGAAAATTGTTCGTAAACATGATTCTAAATTTCTTCATACCATTAAACTAAAAAATCAAAAACATTGTTGATCGCTTGATTTGCGGATAAATTTTGTCTTTTTAGCAATGAAAACTTAAATCTTAATTTTGAGCCACTTTACATAGCATCAAAAAAAGTTAATCTTTCGAAAGACCGAATGATCAAATTAGTAGATAAATAGTTTGTTTTGTTTTAGGATTTCTAGGTGTCAATATAAAAATATGGTCGGCACGGCATAGAAATGTAACCCTACAATCTCAAATAGTGCCTTTTATTTCAAAAAACAAAATAAAAATTTAATAATTTTCTTCGAGTCAGGGCTTTTGTGGTGCTATAGAAATGTTCCTTTAAGTATGCAAGCCATTAAAGTGGTTTCTTTTCAAAGAAAGAGCTGCGAAATACGCACAAGATCAGCTGACGAGATTTTTTTGTCCATTTATTTAATTGATGCAAAATCGTTGACTTACCTCGCTTTTCGTTTTGATAAGTTGGTAAATTAACTCTTAAATGTCAAAATTTTTTATTGCGACAGAATCCCTTGGAACAGTTTCAGATGTGGCAATTGAAAACTACAGATATCGAGAGGGACCGTTTTTCATACGGCATTTTATATGAAAATTAAGCTTCCAAAATTTCTAATCAAAATCTTTCCATTGCTTCAGGTGTTTTCGGTTCTAGCATGGGCGATGCTGGAAGATGAGCGTTCCAGCAACATGTGATGGTTGCGTCGTTTAAAGAGCTAGCTTCACATCTACCAAGTGTTCTACTCTTTTTTAACTACACTCACACCAATGAGTTGATCAGTTTTTCAAAACACGAGGATTCGCGTCTCATGCTCTTCAACTATACTTGCAACTGTAAACGCTAATAATTCAGACAAACATTGAACAATGATTTACAGCCATGATTTTGTTCATTATTATCAATAGTTGGAAAAAATCAATTGGACGATTAAAAGATAATTTTAAATTTCAAACTTTGTCAGATATCAATTAACTGCTATTAATTGATTATTGTTCTTGGGTTTCAGCAACGTCAGTTTCTGGCCACAAAAACAACGTCAACCGTCTCTTTGATTAAAATAGCTGCGTATCGAGATCCATTGACAAAAAACAATGTCATAAGTCAGAGAAAGACCATTCCCTTTAAGAAAACGCGGTAAAATTATGATAAATAAATTCGATTTTTGCTACTTTTCAGCATGCAAAGCTACTCGTATCAGGTCGACACCCTGAAAATTTAGATGCAGTTCCATATTATTTATACACAGAGGCGAAGTTGCACTTCGCATACACAAGCAAAAATATGACCGATAACGCCACAGGAAAAAAACTGAATGAGTAAAATTTTGAGTCTACAACAAGTGACGCACGCCAATTATGACGCATTGGCAGTCAAATTGAAAAAAAAATTGCCAAATAGCATGCCTCAGTTTACAGAGCAGTCTATGGAGCAATAATAGCATGAAAAAATTAAATGTAATAAAAACAAACTGAAGTTTTTTTTAATTTGAAATTTATTGTGAAAATGATCCCCCCACACGCCATATTAGGTACAAAGTGATATATTCCGCTCCTAGTACCAATGCAAATATGGAAAATAAGCTTCCTTCAACCAATTTAGAACTATTTCTATGACGGATTAAATCTCGGCTTACGCGTTAATAGCTCGATACGTATCGCGCGTAATTGTCCCAAATTGGCTTAAATGGCAATTTTTAAACCACCATAATTTTAAGAAAAAAGATCACAGGTGAATAATCTTTCCAACTTTAAGCTCAGGACAACAACATTTTTTGAATGATATTTAAAAAATCCCGTCAAAAATGGCTAGTTAAAAAGTTGAAATTTATCTAAAGAAAAAAAACACCCCGAGCAGAAATATTCCGGCTCTTTCGTTACGAAAATTGGAACAATAATAGTCTGTGTTAAAATCCTTAGCATTGGCTGTACTTAATAGCTGGTTATTGATCAAAATGAAAATTATCAAAATGAACAGATTTTATCACAACAATATTTGCGTCGCAACAATATTTGTGACTTAGGTTGGAAAAAAAAGATAATTCAAACTATAACACAAACATTGCTTGTGTAAATAACTAGCATGCCTTAGTTCAATTAGGACAACGTCCAAACTTATTCTGTCTGGAAAGCTGTATTTTGAAATTATATTTCGAGGAATTATTTATATGCACGAAATGAATTAGCATTTTTTGGATATTATAACTCCGACTAAATTTAATTTGTATTTGTATAGCAATCTATGTTGCGATATCATGTAAAAATCATTTATAATATTTTAGTTCCGACCATACAGTTGTGTGTTAACTTTTTTCTTTCTTCTTTCTACGCAGTACGCAGTATCGCTTACCACAGACAATCATCGGAATGGATTGATCGAGATACCATATTAAAGCCCTTTCAATCGTGATTTGAAACACTCAAAACATTGTCGAGAAAAACCGGTTGAATATTTTGCTTTTTAGTCTTGTTTTGTCGGGATTCGCGTAATATTTTACGAGGATTTGCGAAATTGAGACAGGTATCGGCTATCCTTGTTTCAATTGCAACAATTTTTACTATAAAAAATCATTTAACCTTCAAGTTTCGAAAGCTCTTGATTTTGTATTCTTTATTTGGCTGCTTGTCACATAACGACATCCTGAAATTTCCGACTGCCTTTTAAGTATATTGTAAAATTTTAGAATTGGATAACAATTTTTTAAAGAAAATCATCTCCCCACACGCTATTTAAAAAAAAATTGATTTAGTTAACGCATACTAGCGTATTATTTAAAATAACAAGCATGCCTCAGTTCATTAAGGAACAACTTCTGAACCGGATAAATTCGCCTCTTGCACGTCAATGCCCTGATGTACATCGCGCGTTAATGATAATGGTCTAGGGTGTTTTTGAAACTTGTTTTAAAATTTTTTTCTCATTTCACAAAAATTTGGGTTCTTGATTGATTTAGTGAATTTTAAGACTCGTTTTTCTCAAATTCGGTTGTAAATGGCCAAAAACGCCAAGACGAAACTTTCTTGGAATTTTGCGGAATCTATTTTTTCAGCGGAATCTCGAACAAAAAACTCTAAAAACGGTTCAATTCATTTGGTTTAAAACTAACGAGGTAAACAGTGTTAAGTAATTTTTGTCCTCGTCACTTTTCGGCCACATAAAACCTAATTTAACGAGTTAAAAACAATCTGTTTTAGTTCATTTTATCCAGTTGTTTTAATTCAGCACTATAATAGCTTGTTCAGCACAAAATGCAGTGAAAATTCACTACATCGCAAAAATTTGCTGAATAAATTATATCATCAAATTTTGATGAATTTTTGCTGACTACTGCAGAAAGAATCACTTCAAATACCCAAATATTTGTTGGACGAGAGAGAATTTATAAGAAACACGTTTTGAAAACACCTAATCATCTGAAAGCAATACAGGGTGTTTTCAGAACGTGCTTTTTTATAAATCCTCTTGAAAAGAATTTTACTGCAGCAGGCAGCAAAACTCGTTCAATTTTCACATCTTGCAAATTGCTCACAATTGCCCCTGGCAGTCTCAATTTCACAAAAAGCGGTCGCCTGTTTTATTATTTTATCTTGCGGTCAAGGTGTTCTTCCAAATGCTTGCAACACAGCACTATTACTACTTTCGTATTGCCTATGTTTTCATGAGCAAATCATTCAGAAAAGAGGACCCAATGAAAAAAAACTGCACCGGTCTGTCACAGAGCAGTATTCGATAATTTAAAAAAAAAACAACCTTGAAGATCAGTTACTTTTGGAAATTTTTAAGGGTGTGGGAAATTTTTGACATGGACAGTATGCCAGGTAATACGTCCACAGCACAGCATCTTCAGATTGAAAAAGGGGTTTCAAAGTTTTATTAAACTCAGTCAGTTTCTAATATGGAATGTGTTATTTACTAAAAAACTGTCACCATTTGAATAATAATATAATTTTTACAATCAATTTTTTCTCGTTTATGTACAAAAAATATCAAAAATAGTTAAGACAAAAATTTAAATTATACATAGCAGCATTGTTAACATGGTGGTAGACGACAATACGCTTAACGTTACGAAACCAAATGACGCAATTCTTATGTAACTTGAGACGAGCGATAGAACTTGCTATTGGATGTTGTTGAACATTGGAAAGCGGAGGGTTATCTTTAATAGTATTAGCACTGTGGTTAGATTGGTCACTATCGATATGTGAAGAGAAAAAAGCTGAAGATATTGCAAAATTGGCAAAGCTAAAAGTTTGATAGAAATAAGGCTTATTGGCAAAACTGCTATTTAAGCTAGCAGCATATGTTGACACCTTTTCAGAAAGAGCTCCGATATTCAACTGTCCGAAGTAGAACATAGTTTTACAAGGAATTTTTTCCAATACAATATCATATACATTGAAGTAACCCAGCAATTTGTGTTTCGGGTAGATATTGGACAAAAAGTTAACATAACTAACATCCACTTTAGCTGCATACATGTAAAGGTAAAAACCTAGGGCTACATCTTCGAATCTAGAAATTGCTCCGAAATCTCGGTTTGTTCGATTCAGTTTGTGGAACTGTTTGGAAATAGTTGCCATTTCATGCACTAGGTCAGCGGATAAATAATACATTGGGCCCTCGCAATGAGGGGGAAAAAACCTGAACCTGTAATCTGTCGTAGACAGATAATGTTTGCTTTTTGAGTTTCTGCAAGGAGAGTCAAATGACCCACATTTACCCCCGTATGCTTTATGCGCAACAGTCTGCGACAAAATAGCCCCTAGCAGTCTCAAGTTCACAAAAGTGTCGTCGTCTGCTTTGACCATAAAGTGCACTTTCGAATTCGGCATGTGACTGTAGTTGACTGAGAAGTTCTGCATGAACTCAGCTGCGTATTGCAGGATGAAGTTCGTCTTTAGAGTCAAATTGTAGTATCCTTCTGAGAAATCTCCAAAAATGATATCCTGAAACAAAACTCAATTCGTAAGAACAATTTTTTACTTTTTCAAATTATTAGGTGCTTTTTCCCCCTACAACGGAAAAAATTCGTCGCAAAAACAATAATAGCATATGATTGAAAATGGACTCTTTTTAGTGCTGGATACATTTCTCTGGGTTCCATGGGAGAATGGTATAGTTAAAGAGATCCAGGTGGTAAACGCCCGATAGAGTTGCAGACAGTTCAAAAACGGACAGTTAATTCGGAAGTACTAGTAATATTTCAGCCACGTAGCAACTCGGAAGTACTACTATACCCTATACCTAAGACTTAAAATAACTCATTCGCAAGCCTGCTCTTCGCATACAGAAAACAACTCAAAAAGTAACTATTTAAACCAGAAGCGACGCAGAGCTTTGCGCCACAAGCCATACGAAATCAAAATAGCTATACAAGGTAGTCGACAGAAAATGAGACGGAAGCCACTAAAAATTGAAAATATCGAGAACAAAACGTCCAATAACATTTATATACCTTGGTCTCACATGCAGTTACTTGAGGAAAACATGTTAAAAAGCACAGGTGCCAGCGTTAACTTACCATTCAGAGAAAATTTATCATGGATAACTAAGACGGCACTACCAGGGTTCACGCTCGTTGAGTCAAAAACAAAAACTCAAGCGTTAAACTTTTGAAAATTGAAAGGTTGAATTCCACCTTCTGAAGCACACACGCATAAAAAATCTTTTCTTTTTCATTTGTCAAACGACGCAATATGAGGTAATTCAGACAATATGACACAACACGAAACTATTTGAGCCAAAAATGTTTTTAAGCGATACAAAAAAGAAGCTGGTAAATTTAAAAATTACAAAAGAAAAAAAGTTGACGTCCATTAACATCAATAAATGCTTGCTCGCAAAAATAAGCAGGCAAACGAAAGTCCAATCGTAAAACTTTTGCCAGAAACAAATGTTCAATTTGCAACTAGTAAAGCTCAACTCAAAACGAGTATAATTGCTTTACCGTGATACGATAATAAAGGAAATTGCAGAAACCTGTGAATTACTAGGTTGCAATACCTTGCTAATCGCTAGGCAAGGGTAGAGAAAAGAATTATTACACAGAGGCGAAGCTGCGCTTCGCAAACACTTGTGAGAACACGACAAAAAACAGCTCTATAAAGTGCAAAAAGAAAAAGTAGATATAAGCCACGAATCAGTTAAAATTCGGCTAGCTCTCGGACTCTATCTGAGACCTACGGCAACCTCGAGAACATATGTCTCACGCTGTAAGCCACTCGGTCCCAGACGCTTAATTAAACAAACAGAAGCCTCAAATAAAGTACTAATACACCAACACACGCAAGCTATGTAAATAGATGCTTTCGCTTAGAAGAACAGATATAAACGGGCGGAACCGAGCATCACCCTTCTTGCAATGCAACACAATAGGATTGCAGGCTAGCGGATAGAAAATAAGACAGAAGCCATTAAGTCAAAAACAATTATTCGAAAAAAAATGTCGATGAACAAAACCAACATCATTGATCAAGCAACCAGAATCAAGAGCCAAGCGATACCTCAGTCGACAAAACGTAAGTACACGCCAGTTGAGCTATAAAAAATGCCAAAGGAAGTTTAGAGCTATAAATTTTGATATTCGAAGTTTTTAGGCACATTCCTCTTGAAACTCAAAAGAAAAAACTATTTTGCCCTTAAAACGAAGCAATAAAAAGTGAATAAGCCAATACAGCACCGACCGATACCAATAAAAGAAAAAACAAACAAAAAACAAAATTATACACATAGCCAATAGAAGATTGAAACAGTGTAAGGAACGCAAGTAAACATTAAAAAAAACACAGACTTTCTTGAAAAAATCTCAACTTTCGAATTGTAAAGAAAAAAATAGATGCCCTTTAAGCTCTTTGAATTTCTAGAAAAACTTATGCTGGCGCTTTTTTGATAATATGAACCAAACTTGAGAAACTGGATCAATAGTTAAAGTTTTTATTCCGCTGGGAAATCTTTAAAAAAAATCCACTTTCGAAACTTGAAATCGTTCAATGATGTTTCGTGCCACTTCCACGTTCATATTTGGAAAGTTCTATTTACGCCACTTTCAGCAAATTAATTTCCGAAACAATTTCAATGAATGAAACTCAAAAAGTGCATTAAACCTAAGTGCATCAATATTTTAAAAATTTTTCCTGAAAAAAAAACAAAAAAAAGCAAGACCTATATAAGAGTCTTGACTACGTTCTTTAGTCTGAAAAACTCAGATGGAAAATTAAAAAACGAATTTCAATAATAACAGAAAAGCTCAAATCAGAAGATACATCTTTGCTTCGGAAAGTAAGCCAACAAAACAAAAGCAGACAAACGATAGTCCGACATTTCAACTTTTACTTACAACAGATCAATTTCTATACAGATCGAAAACAAACAAGGAACGCACTTTACCACTACACCAAGAGAAATCATGAACCAAGGTCCATTCTTCTCAATTTTCTTTATAAGTTGTTTAAGGGAAAAAGGTAGTTATCGATTACAAGTACACGAGTACAAACCGATTAGCATTCATCTGAGTTCAAAGCCAACCCCGTCTGCCAAATAGGCACACGCCTCAATTACTGAGGTTAGATTCATTCGAGACCCGTCGTTCAAACCTCATGTATGTGAAACAGCCTCAAAACATTTTAAATATGGAAAGCTAACAATCACAAAAACAGAAACTTGCATTGAACATTAGCATTCATAACTAGTTCAGTTTTAAAGTGGTATTTGTTTTTCAAACATGATGCAGATATTCATCTAAAAAATCCAAAATAGAAAACTATTCCTTGCGGACTTCTCCAGGGATCAGATCTCGGGCCCCTAATGCTCATAATAGGCATCAATTATTTACTAAAGATTACAAACTCAGTGAACAAATTCATACGCTGATGATACAGCAGTGAAGCAAAAAGAACAAAATAACATCAATGCAATGATTAAATAAGAACAGATATACTGTATTATAACAGATATACTACATATAACACAGTAAAAAATACACTTAGGATGAAGAAATAGGTTTAAAATATTGGCAGGTTTAATTCGCTTTACCTCGACTTTTCCTAACTTTACCTGGACTATTTCCGAATTTTGATTGCTTCATCTTTCTGAATTTTTGCAAAGAGATTGGGAATTTCAACATTTGTGAGCTTCTTCAACCAGCGTTTTTTTTTTGAAAAAATCATGAAAAACCCATTTGTGAGCTTCTTCAACCAGCGTTTTTTTTTTTTTTGAAAAAATCATGAAAAACCGCCATATCTCGTAACTAAAACAATTTTGGTATTCATATTTGAAACCTTATTTTTCAACCCCTGGAGAACATTGACAGCACCCCACCATGGGGCTGCTACTTTCCAATTTAGTGAACAAAACGTTGAAACAAAAAAAAACGCCCGTTTCATAATGTATAGGTGGATGAATCTCACCTTCATGCTACCCTCGTCTTCCCCTTCCTTCAGGTTTCATTAATTACAGGCTTTCGTTTTGATACTTTCAATTGGCCTAAAAATTTTTAACTGTAATTTTCCTAATATTGATCTATGAAAAAACTAAAGCAAGCTAACATATGCTATGGCTCTTCACAACAGTATAGACAGCATAAACATGGCGAGACACGTGTCGAACGTATTTAAAAAGAGTATAGATTGAAAATAAGTTGAAACCCACTAAACATACTTTGAACCTGGACAAAACAACAAACATAAAATGAAAACAATTATAGAAGATTAAAAAAAAACAGTTACTCGCGATGTTAAAAAAAGGCTGATGATGTTAAGAAAGCATAAAAAGAAAAACCGAAACTTCAAATTTTCCCGTGAAAATAAATCAATTTGATTAATAATGAATAAACAAGGTCCCATAAATTAGGCAGCAGAGGCAACCACTACCTCTAGACCAGTGAGCAGGAGCATGTTAAGTTGTTAAGATTCAATATTAAACCGAAGTCAATTTCTTACATACTTGTAAAAAAAAATTGAAGGAAAAAGTATTGTTCCTGATTAAAAGCACGTGCTCTCGCAATCGCAAAAATTATCTTGAATATGATATATCAAGGAACTTCATCTGACGTTAAATTGTGGTCACTTTCAATGGTCAGGGCAATTCTCATTAGTTGCATTTACCTTGCGCCTAAAATATACCTGCAGAGCCGATTACACTTGGCCATGATGCGCAAAAAAGACGGGACATAGAGCAGTTTGGTCGGTAAAAGCAAAACATCAAAAAGAAGAGGATCTCTTTCCCATTGATTTTTGTACCAGTTGTTCATAACAAGTAGTTTTTTCTGGATAAGTTTTTTCAAAATTTCCAATTGGGCTTGTCGAGCTCACTTTTCTCTCAGCCACTGAAATTCGTGAAGCAAAAAAAAAGAAGACAGTTTTCCAGATCCTGGAAACACTAGAAACTCAATCTTTAGCCGAACTGCTACTCGCAATTGGTCTACATATTTATAATCAGTACTTGAGTAGAGTTGTCTTGTTCCTGGCAAAGAATTCGATGAGAGGTTCAAGGAAGCATTACTATCAAGAAAAAATACCAGCCATCTAAAGTTGGAACAATTCCCAACGAACTGACCTGACGGTACAAAACTGATAAAACTGTAAAAAAAAATTCTTGCGCTTTTTTTCAGGTAAAAAATAGATCACTTACATTGCTGGAGTTAATTACAGAATTGTTATTATGTCTTGAGTTTTTTAATTTATTTTTTTGAGCCCATTTTGTCCGATCATGCTGAGACTAGGTGAACTTTAGGTTGATCCAGCTGAAATGGATCACATGTACAATGTCTAACAAAAACTAATAATAATACGAAGCGAAGCTCAAACCACTTGCGATACAACACATACATAAAAAATTAAAAGTCGAAATTAGAAGTTCATTCTAGGTAAACATGCCAGATGTTTGAATATTGAATTAGCAACGGAACAAAATTTACGAAGAGGAAAAAAAGCCGAAAATCTTCGAGCAGTCACAAGTTGAGCCAAAAAAATATGACTTGAAATTAAAACATTCTAGTCTAAATTCCCTCCTGAAACTGCAATGGACAGCACTAGCACTTACAAAGAAAGTTTCTTAAAGTATAAGAAAAATCAGTGATGTGACAACTTAGCCGACAATTTTTTGCAACCGAAACCATTGGACCGGAAAAAAAATGATTTTTTGCACAACTTTCAAAACCTTTCAAGTCCCCCTGAAATTATAACGAACAACACTTGCACCTCCAATGAAAATTACTTAAAGTACAAGAAAATCAGATGTGTAGCAACTAAGCCAACAATCTTTGAGTAAACACCAATTGAACGAAACTTTTTTAAATTTGAAACCTTTCTAGTCTCCCATGAAAGTAGAATAAACAACACTTGCACTTGCAACTGGAATGCCATTTGCTTACAGCACAAGCAAAATCTGTTGTGACAGCTTAGCTGACTAAACTAGAGCAGACAGAGGAGTTCGCCAATTAAATTTTTCTCGAAATTTTTTGTTCAATTTCATTGATCCTGAAAAAAACAAGGTCAGGCCAAGACTCAAACCCCAGACCTAGGGATACAAAGGCAACCAGGTTACCTCTGTGCTAAGGTGGAAGGAACCTGGAATATGCTATGAGAACAAAAGAAGTGAAAAACAAATAATGTGTCAGAAAGGTTGTTTAGGGTAAAAAGCCAAGTTCTTATTACAAGACACATCTCTCGCAAGTGTAATATAGGTTCCAAACTCTGTTTTTATCAGCATTCTTATTTTTTAGGTATCTTGAGACCTGGCCATGGGGTTGCTCTTATTTCTATCCAGAGTGAAAGGTATTTTGATAGTAGCCTTTAAGCTGTAACGATCCTAAGTTCCGTGTCTAAATCGAACCACGAATTGGCTCGGACAGACTGAGGAGTAAAAGATAGTGTCTCGGCCCCTTGAGCCAATGCCTATAGAGCCTATCATTCTTAACCTCGAAAAATGACTTGAAAAAATGACTTACATTTAGCTGAACAAATTACCATATTTAAAACGTTTAAGACCATTTCGAATTGTTGTTTTGCAGCAAAATTGATGTCAGGGGGTTCGAAACTGCAAAACAGGGCTCCTAATGATTATCAGACATAATCAACCACTTTACAGTTAATCCTTTGATTTTTCTTTGAAAATGTATATCAGGATGAAATGTGTTTAAATTGGGTAAATATCACATGCCAATTTGACTGATAAATGGTCAACTTTAATAAACGTTGAAAATAACAAAATTGCAGGCAGGGGAGGACGGACAGTAGAATAGATAAATAGAGCCCCAAAACAATTTTAACCCCTCTGGTAAATCTGTCTAAGAATTTTTAATATGGGAATATGCAAATGATAAACATCATTCATTCTGTTCACTTATTCACTATTCATGCAGAGTGATTTATTACATAGACAGCCATTGCGCTTCGATGCGTCCCTTGAAATGCAAAACGGAAATTTGAAATGCAAACCTGATTTCTTTCCAATTCAGCTTGAGAATCGCGACAATCGGCTCTGTCACAGTTTCCGAGTACAAACTTGTACTCAAATAACACGATCGAGTCACTGTCTTCACTGAAGGAGTTTGTGCTACCCATAGGTTTTCCTGTTGTGTAAAATTGCACCAAATTAGAATTATGTGCCCATGTTTTCCGAAGAGCATCTCGGTTTGTGACATCTTCTGGCCTAGATGCGATTGCTATTAACACACGACTAATTTGCCTCAGCGGTTGTATATGAGCAGTATAATGATCAAAATCAAGGTAGTGAAATTTCTCAAACTCTCTGTGCTCAAAAGTGAAGACATAACTTTCTGTAAATTCTATTGCCAATTGGATAGAGCTTTTCAACAAATGTAGCGACAGGATACAAAAGGAAAATGCAAGTAAGTATACTACGGAGACAGACCTTACTCTCATAATTCAGGCGAATTCTCCTATTTTCCCCGAAAGGTCAAGCGAGAACTTCAAGCAATCCAGCTTAGCTCGTATAAACTATGCGTAGGAAACTAAGGAAGTAATTGGATCTATTTTCATGAGGGGCCGGATTTTCAAAATACTTGTCGACCTTTTTACGTTTCTTTTTAGGCCAACCAAAATGATTTCGCGAGATTTCTCAGCTTTCTTTAAGGCCCAACTTTGCAAATAAATATTTTCAGGGCCGCAGGCAAGTTGTTTCAAACTTGAAATTGAGTCGTAATAATTTTTGCTTTTATGTGAGTTTCTCTAACATTAAAAATGGCCTCACTAATTCACTATAAATTGATGAACTTTATTACTATCCATAGCCCTGCAAAAATAACAAGCGATTTTTTAAATTACCGAAGTCCAAATAAGAATTAATTACGAACGAACTGAGCTGACGCCTCGCGGCCAAAATAAAAGGTGAAATACAATAACCCTATCGAAAAATCGAAGTCTGCAGAAAAAAAAGAAATCTAGCCTGTCGTTCGAGATTGTCAACTTATTCTTCTGTTGAAGCTATAACTATCAAAGTACTAGTTGGTACAAATACAACTAGTTAATACCTTGAGATCAAGTAAAATATCATTACTAAACTAAACAATGAACGGATTGAATGACCTAAATTTGAGAGGAGTATATAGGCCTTCTTAACATTCTGAATGCAGTAAATGTGCGTTTTTGGCAATTTCAGTTTTCTTTGTGAATGCAACTCTAAATAGACTATTGGAAATTTCAAAAGTGTCATTTGGTTTTGTCTAAAGATGACCCACAATGCCAGCCAGCAAAAAAAGAGACCTATTTGTGACTCAAATAAAGACCTATATAACACTAACATTAGTGGCATTTTCATTTAAAAGCGGCAATACAAACCTTAGCCAAAAAAAATGATTCCTCTCTGTGATTCATGTTTGATGTACAGATAAATAAGGCTTCCGGTATCAATTCTGAGCAAGATGAAGAAAAACATGACCTATAACACTACTGGTAGAGCTGACATGGTACCGGAGCTAGTACAATTGGTACTCGTACAGTACCCAAGGTAGGAGGTACCAGTACCAAGCCAACCAGGGGGTTCAGTTTTGACCTAGTTTACGCTCAAAATTTGATAAGCTATTGAAGTATTCGTTTGAAACGCGGGAAATTTAACGCCTTTTGTTGTACTTTTCGCTCAGTATTCGCTAAGCTTTTGAAAAATTCGTTAATAACGCGGGAAATTAAACGCCTGTAGTTCACTTATGTTGGAACCAGACCAGATGTAACGTGCTATACATAATAAAAAAAATTTCCTGCTCTGAAATGACTAACCGGCTTGAAACTAATCTCCGAGATAAAGAATCCAACCGATATCTAAAAGACAGAGTATGTGATCTATGTTTTCTGGTCTACTTTCTGCAATAGGGTCGAAACAAAAGCTGGAGAGTCATAAAAGGAGCGGAAGCCGTGCCATTCCACCGGATTGGCACAGCACATTTGAACCCTCCGACGAGAACAAAACGGACTTTAATATTGTTAAAGACGAATTCGTGATGAAAAGGAGGGTCGGAATGTTCTGGAATTTTTAAATTTTCGATTCTCAGCAGATTATTTCTGAGAAATGCGGGCACGGCCATTTTAAACGAAAAAAGAGAAGAAAAACACAACGAACGAGAACGTCGAACGAACAAGTCGAGAAAAACAAGAAAAAAAACGGAGTCTCTTATCGTGACGATAACGCACGATAAGGCACTTAACTGAAGCAGATATAACAAAAGGAGGCATCAGTGGGACAGCCGGAGTGGATCCGTACCCTCCCGTGCCAAGAGCTTGAGGAGATAAGAGCATTATCTCAGTAGGAGAACGGAATTGGAGGCCCGGTGCCCAGAAACTCAGTAGACTGTAATATACACTTTTTAGCTGCTGTGATTCCGACTTTACATAGTATTTGCGAGCATGAATAGCTAGAAAGAGGAAAAGGTCACTCCATCCCCAATGGATTTAGTATATAACTGTCACTAAAAACATAGTAAATAATGGATTTTGAGCCGCGTTTTTAATAGTACTCACGGAGTCTGGGGATCCGAGAACCAGCTATGAGGTTATCTTCGCATGTAAACGAAAGCTGATCGTAAGTCGTTTGACTGATGGCCTAAAAATGGTTACTTTCTACTTAGCCTTAAAGAGACCAGAAAACTGACTGGCTAGGTCTAGACGGTGAAAAACGAGTAGAATTGAGGTAACTGACGCTTGCCAGTCGTCAAAAAGTGCTTTTCTACGCTCCGTCACTGTGTACTGTTCGAGCGAATGTTACACTGCAAGCAACAGAAGAGATGGCTTTCCTCAAGAACTCTGTGGTAACTTCGGTGTTCACAGTGAACCATCACCCAAGAAAGCAAACATACAAGCAACGGATAGGAAAAGTAAGTAAATTAGAAAAAAGGGTTCCTTCCGTTCAGGTACGGTCGTGCCAAAGCTGGATAGGGCCCACACCAGCATTTTGACATTCGACCAGAATGTGAAAAATGCAATCTCTGCGGAATTCGAAATTTTAGCAGCGAGCCTTCCGAATTAGTGATTTTAAAGGATTAACGACGTTATTTGAACGATGGGACAAAACGTGAAGGTTGAAGGATTCGGGAATTGCTAATTTTTAAATTTTCGAAGTGATTACGTAACATTTCTGAGAAACGTCAGAAACGGCCATTTTGGCAAAAAGGTCGAAGAAAAACACAACAACATTAGTTGCGCGGACGATAACTACGAGAATCGTGATCAAAAAACAACAGCAGATTGCAGGAATAGCAGAGAAGGTTCCGAGTTGCAACTATTGTGTCGCTACAATATTTGCAAGGCCGTTGCAGACAACGGTGAAGGGTGGAAGACAGCCTTCCGGATTACGGAGAAATCAAGATTAACATACTTGATTCAGTGGATTCAAGAATCCGGAAGGGTTTCGGGACTGAAACTTTTATCCTGTTATATAAACTTTTAGCTTCTTGTCATGTCCTGATTTGAATTTACTTAACAACTGGATTCATTTTGATAAGGATGAGAAGCTAGGAGTTGGGGGAAAGGGTTGATCCATTGTAACATTCGCCCAAATACTACACAGCGACGGAGCGTAGAAAAAGTACCTATTAACGACTGGCAGGCGTCAGTTACCCTAATCCTACTCGCTTTTCACCGTCTCGACCTTGCCAGTTGATTTTCTGGTCTGTCTAGGGCAAAGTAAAAAGTTACCATTTTTAGGCCATCAGTCAAACGACTTTTGATCAGCTTTCGTTTACATGCGAACACAACCACATAGCTGAGTCTCGGATCCTCAGACTACGTGATTGTCATTAAAAACACGGCTCGAACAACCTATTTTAACATGTTTTTGTGTGACAGTTCTATATTAAATCCATTGGAGATGGATTGACCCTTTCCTCTTTCTAGCTACTCATATTCTGAAATATCAAACAATAACGGTGTTAATTAAGAGATCTATGACATTCAGGTAGCTACAAAGTTAGTTCTATACAGTCCCTTCACATAAACAGTCTCTGGGGGACCAAGCCTCCGCTCCCGTGATATTCCAGCGATAACGCTCTTGTCTCTTCTGATTTGCGTCCCGGGAGGGTTCCGTGGAATACTCCTTCCACACTGAAGCTTCCTTCTCCACTGGTATCCGCTGACAAGTGTCTTATCGTGCGTTGTTGCCACGATAAGAAGCTTTGTATCTTCCGTCTCTTGTACGACTGTTTTTCACAATATCTGTCGTTGTTCTTATTTTCGTCACTTTTTGGCTCAAAATGGCCGTTTTTCGTATTTCTGAGAAATGTCAACTTGAAAATCGAAATTTTAAAAAATAAATGTTCCAGAATATTCTGACCCTCCTTTCAAGCACTTTTTTGCTGTTAAGGCCTTTTCTCTCTGTTTCGTGCTTCGTCGGAAGGTTGCGCTGTGCCATCTGGCAGAATGGCACATACTCCCCGGACAGTCCCCATCAATGTCCCTATTGATCGCATAACACCGGGTTATCGTCAAGTAGTTATCCAGTTTTCTGTAATCAATCTTACAAATCGCATAAGAAAATGAAATTTATCTACCCCACCTCAACTCACTACGTGTTCACAAATGGCATCGTACTACATCTCACTGCCTTTCAACATTTTCACAAAATTTGCACCATGAGGAGTGTCCTAGATAAAATTTCTTTTCTGACTACTTACGTCGTCTTGCCATAAAACTTCTTTTCGCTCTTTGTGATTAAAAAGTGGGACGTGGCACGGCCACGCACCCGTTAAAATTAACTTAACATTACTCACCAGGTATAATCAGTTATTTATGCGGTTTTTTCAATATTAAAACTAAGGAACTCTGTGGCTAGGAAAGTTATTGAGTTACCCACCCTTCTCGAGCGAGTTTACTCAAACTTACCATGTCGCCACACAGTGAAATTGTGTCTTACACAGGTTAAAAACTTCAATCGTGTTTAAATAGGTAAATATACTCACCTATGTTCTATATATACATACATAAATAGTATAACTAAAATTTCTTTTTCAACAATTTAACAATTGTAACAACTTTCAAAGTTTGGTTTGACCAAACTAAATCAAAACAAAAAGTTTAACAAGTTCAATAATCAAAATTTGGTTGATTGGTTCAAGTTTTAGCACACAAAGACAATCAAGTTTTCTCTCCTTCTCTTCTCTTCTTTGTTCATCTTCATTCCATCACTTCTCCATCTTGATCTTCAGCTTCGCTGTCTTCCAATACTTTCTCCAGCATGTCTATGGAGTTGCGGGCCGTGCCCCAACTCTCCTGTTCCAACAGCCTCGGTTTGCAACAAGGTAGCAAGTCAACATTAACCTTTTGCTCCCGGTTCCTGCAAAAGCTGTTGTGAAGACATAGGCTGACGTTTCGTTCTAGGTCAGCTCTTAAGACCTCTTTCTTCTCATCTTCAGTTACACAAGGC